AGACGCTGGCATCAGACTCTGCTGTAGAGAGCAAGGGAGGACCCAGGTCAGGCACCGCAGTTGCCTGGGGATGCACCCGCGTGCCCTCGGCCCCAGGCTGGCGGGGAGCTGGTGGGAGGAGTGCCCTGCTCATGGGTGTTACCGCCTTTTCCTCCCCAGAGCATCACCCTGGTTTTTCCTGCAGTCTGTCTCTGCCAGGCCCATCTCCTGGGATTACCCAGCGTACACAAGGCCAGGATTAGTGGGATCGAGGCGGTGATTCAGCCTTAATCACACTTTAAGCCAAACTCTGCAGTTTAACACTGGAGCTGCCGGCCCTGATGGCCCAGGAGCCATAGCTGTGCCCCAGTTTGGGTTTGGGGAACCACCCCAGCACGAGGGTGTGCTGGCGCCCTGGGAGCACCCCTCGCCCTGCTGTGCTCCTGCCCAGATGTGCACGCTCCCCAGAACATGCGCATCACCCAGATGTGCCCCCCAGCAAGGGGCGAACCCCCTGCCGTGCGCCCAGCTGGGCACACTCGCGTGGCAGTGTGCTCGTCCAGATGTGGCCACCCCCAGATGTGCACTCCCCTGGCACGCCCTCACCCATCTGCGCCCACCCACTCAGCCCTGGGCTCACCCAGATGTGGGCGCTCCCCTGCTGCACCCCCACCCAGGACCCGTGTGCCTGCCCGGGACCCCCGGGGGTGCGGGGCACCCTCCTTCCCAGGGCGCACGAGCCGCCGCCTGCCCCGACAGCTCGATCCCCCTCCGGCAGCGCGATCCTCGCAGCATTCCTCAGCCTGCTCTTAATTGGCTTCCCCTTTGTCGTGACTGAAGGAGGCAATAATTAATGCTCTTGCTCACCAGGTGCTACGGCAGCGCCCATGTCGCAGGAAAGGGCCTGCCGGTGGCACGGTGGCCGCCGTGGCTAGCAGTACGGCTGGGGGGTCCTTCCTCTGCCGCGTCGGCACCTCTCTGCACCTACTGCTTCGGTGTTTGGGCAGGAAAATGGCTCCGCTCCTTTTATTTTGCTTTTGGGATGGGCTCTGACCAACGGGCGCCGCTGCCTTGGTGCTATCAGAGTTCTGGCGCTGGCAGTGCCCAGCTTTGCCTGCCTCAGGGCAGCTCTGTGTGGTGTCCTGCTGGCCAGAGCCTCTGCCCAGCCTCACCCTCTTCCTCCTCCTCCTCCACAGTTTGATGCTGAATTTCGCCGCTTTGCCATGAAACGCTCCAGCACGGGCAGCTTCCAGGACTTCTACCGCCTGCTGCAGACAGTGCACCAGATCCCACGGGTGGACGTGCTCTTGGGCTACACGGACGTCCATGGCGACCTCCTGCCCATTAACAACGACGACAACTACCACAAAGCCCTGTCCTCCGCCAACCCCCTCCTCAGGGTCATCATCCAGAAGAAGGGTAAGCGGCATCCAGAGAAGTGTGCTGGATCCGTCCTCCCCATCAAGAGAAATGAGACATGTCCTGTGGTACTGCTGGTTCCACAGCGGTGGGGGTGGCCAGTCACGTACCCTCCAGCCACCGCTGTGGTGGATGGATGCGGAGGTGGCAGCACCAGGAGGCTCCCAGAGCCCTGCTGGGGCCAGGGCACCCACACGGACTCCCCCCGGCAGCCCTTTCCCACGCCAAGGGGCACCCGCCCCAGCCCAGCCCCACGCGCCCCAGCGAGCAAAGGCAAATCCTCACGATTCACCCCTTTGAAGTCGCATTTTCCAGCTAGGCTTGTGTGGGCTCCCGGAAAACACCGTGTTGCTCCTTGAGTGCTGCACTGGGTGCCCTGTTGGCTCCCTGCCCCGATGGCTTTGGTAGAGCTCTTGGGGTCCTGGGTGCTGCTGTGGTTTTGGCAGTGGGAGGAGGCCCATCTCCTCCCCAGCAGCCCAGGGGCTCGCCTTGACTGCAATGGTGTGTCCCCTGAGAGCAGCTTTCTCATGCAGGAGCATGAAATCACCATGATAGCAGTGTCCTGTCCCCGTGAGGATGAAAGCCTCCCGGTGACAAACACCCCAGGTATGTCTCTTCTTTGCCAGGGAGATGGAGACAAACCCACCCCCTTCTGCTCAGTTCAGTAGCATCGAGGCTTTTTGTCCATCAAGCAAAGCTGCACAAAGCCAGAGTCTGATCTAAAAGCCCTGGCTTCCCCAGCACAGTGCCCAGAGCCACCCCGTTTCCTGCTCACACTGTCAGTATGAAGTCCCTGGGTGAGGGGTGATGCCGGTGGCTACCTTGGCTGCTGGGCCAGATTCTCTGAGCTCTTACATCAGGGTGGTGTGGGATGCCCTGGACATATGGGGGCTGGCAGTGGTGATCCAGGCTGCTGCCATGAGGGAGCTGGAGCCCATGGTGTGTTCAGGGGCTGCTGCTGCCGGCACCAAGCCACCCCCTGCTCCTGGAGCAACACCTGGGCCCAGGCTGCAGCACAGGGAGCTGGTGCAGGACTGGATGTGCCGGGGCTGCTGCGGGAGCATTGCTCCTGCTTCGAGCCACCTCGTCTGCTCCTGGGAAAAGTCTGCAAGGGCACGGGGGTGACAGCACTGAGCTAGCATGGTGCAGAGAGCAGGCAGCTGCGGCTCTGACACTCTGGGCAGCACGATAAAGAGGGTGAGGAGTTAGTGCAGACGAGCCCTGGCACTGGGCTGTGCCCACGGGAGAGGGACCACAGGGCCGGCAGCACTGTGGGAGGCAGGCAGAGAGGCCAGGAGCGAGCCCTGGCTGAGTCACAGCTGATTTAAAATGGATCCAGGTCATCCTGGGGCTGGGCTGTTGTCGAACCAGTCCAGGTTGGTGAGGAATGCGGCTGCAGAGCCTCTCACAGCCGGGCACGGGGAGTCGCACACACACGTGTGTACGTAGGTGTGCACCCGTCGGTGGGCTCCGCAGCAGCCAGTACTGCCGCAGGGGGTCAAAAAGCAAAGGCAGCAGCTCGGTTCCTCTCTGTGCTGTCACCTTGTCCAGTGAAGCCGTCCATCCCCACAGGGCAGCCAGGTTGGGGACAGTGGCACTGGCCCTCCTTGGCTGGGCTTGGCTCATGGAAGGGGCTGGGGAAAGCCCAGTACATCACCAGAGCTGCTGGTGGGTTTGTCCATGGGGGGGTGGACCTGCTGGGCCAAGCTGTTCCACGCCCCTCGGAAAGGAGCTGTGTGCTGAAATAGCTGTGGGAAAGCCTCCACTGCCCTTCCCCAAGCTAAAAATATGCCAGGCTGTGTGTGCAGGGAGATATTTATAACCTAGGAGCCCTGGCAGGCTGGCTTGGCTAGGGAGAAACCCCATGTCCCCTGGGCTTGAGGCAGCCCCAGTGCCCCTGGGTGCTGGGGGACATTGTGGGGAATGTGCCAGGAACACTGAGTCCAGATCTGGGCCCCCCCGTGGAGAGGGATGGGGAGAAACCAGAGAGGGCCCAGGGCATGCTCCCCAGCATCTGGTGGATGCAGCCGAGGAGGGGATGTGGTGGAGCTGGGTCCTCCAGAGTAGCCCCAGGTCAAGGTCAGGAAGGATGGAGCTGTACCTGATGTGGTGGTGCCAGATGGTGGAATAAGAGACAGTGGCAGAAATTAGTTTGGGATGTTCAGGGGCCCTGGGGACACTGCAGCCCTGGGATAGGTCCCTGGGAGGTGGGGACTCTCCATCCTTGGGGATGACAGGCTCTGCAAGACAGAGCTGCGGCCATCCCCACCCTGTGCCAGAGAAGGTCCTGCTCCAGTGGCAACAGGGGACTCCAGTGCCGTCTCACAGGGCCAGACCTGCCCTTGGGGAGCTGGTGGCCACCACAGCACACCCTCGTGCTGGGGTGGTTCCCCAAACCCAAACTGGGGCACAGCTATGGCTCCTGGGCCATCAGGGCCGGCAGCTCCAGTGTTAAACTGCAGAGTTTGGCTTAAAGTGTGATTAAGGCTGAATCACCGCCTCGATCCCACTAATCCTGGCCTTGTGTACGCTGGGTAATCCCAGGAGATGGGCCTGGCAGAGACAGACTGCAGGAAAAACCAGGGTGATGCTCTGGGGAGGAAAAGGCGGTAACACCCATGAGCAGGGCACTCCTCCCACCAGCTCCCCGCCAGCCTGGGGCCGAGGGCACGCGGGTGCATCCCCAGGCAACTGCGGTGCCTGACCTGGGTCCTCCCTTGCTCTCTACAGCAGAGTCTGATGCCAGCGTCTTCGCTTCGAACTCCTTGCAGCGGAAGAAGAAGGGGCTGCTGCGCCCCACGCACTACCGGGCCAAGCCTCACCTCCTCATCGGCATGCCCCAGGACTTCCGCCAGATCTCCTCCATCATCGATGTGGACATCCTGCCTGAGACCCACCGCCGCGTGCGGCTCCACAAGCACGGCTCTGACAAGCCGCTGGGGTTCTACATCCGCGATGGTGTCAGCGTACGCGTGGCCCCACAGGGGGTCGAGAAAGTGCCCGGCATCTTCATCTCCCGCCTGGTGAAGGGCGGCTTGGCCGAGAGCACAGGGCTGCTGGCTGTGAGCGATGAGATCCTGGAGGTCAACGGCATTGATGTGGCCGGCAAGTCCCTGGACCAGGTGACGGACATGATGGTGGCCAACAGCCACAACCTCATCATCACCGTTAAGCCGGCCAACCAGCGCAACAACGTCATCCGCAGCAGCAAGGCCTCGGGCAGCTCAGGCATGTCCACAGACAGCACCCCCAGCCAGCAGACCCCCAGCCCAGCCTCGCAGTACCTGAGCAACTACAGCACGGCCGAGAGCGACGAGGAGGGTGACTTGGTCATCGAGAGCGACAGTGCGCCCCACTACATCCCCGGGGGCTGCCCCAACGGGGGCCCCGCCGACGGACCCCTCCAGCGGAGCTTGTCCCCGCACAGCTCACGGGGCTCCCTGCAGTCCCTTGGCAGCCACGACGGCAGCCCCGGCCGGGGCAGTGGGCGGGAGGACGGCACCCTCATCACCCTATAGCCACGGGGTCCTGCACCGCCCTTGGTGGCCAGCTGGCCTTCCACGTGGCCAGGCTGGCTGCGGGCACCGGGGCGATGACAGGGCCAGTGGGCAGGGGTGGGGCAGGGCAGAGCTGGGTAACCTGCTTCCCTCTTCTGCCACCCACATCCCCGGGAGCCCTGCGGTGGTGCCCGCTCCTGGCAGGCACTGTCCCTCCGAGTCCCCTTGCCTCCCACCCCCCTCCTTCCAAGCAAGTGGGGTTTTTTAATTGTTTTCTCGAAATATGCATCATCAATTAATATATTGCAACGGACAGTAAAACCTTTTCTAGAAAGCTCCCCTTCTCCCTGGTTCGTGTCATCACAGGGCACAGCCCCCTCCAGGACACCAAACACCCTGGTGCTGTGGGAGGGGGCAGGCATGTCCCCACCAGCCCCAAGGCATTGCCTGTCCCGTCGTGGGCCAGCACGAGCCCCATAACCAGCCCTGCAGGTGCCCGGGAGGAGTGGGACAGTGGGGGGGGG